TTTTAGTTCAACCTTACTCCGTCTTCTGTATCTGTCATGTAAGATTACGATAATCTACAATGTTATAATGAAAATTCGCAATACAATTTGGGGATACACATGAATTATATAACTGCCATTTAAAATTATTGAAATCCTAAGTTTATAATAAAAATTCACAATACAATTCATTGGATACGCAGGAATTACATAAATGTGATGTAAGAATATTGAAGTCGTCAAGTTTGTAATGAAAATCCACAATACAGTTATGGGGATAGTGAATGACATAAATGTTATCTAAAATTATCGAAACCCTCAACGTTATAATGAAAATCCACAATATCGTCAAAGTTAGACGCTCCAATTTCACAAATTATGTAAATAAATTAAAGAATCTAAAAAATCTGTATTGTACCTATCTCAATTTTTCTAGGTTCACTAGCTAGCTCACTTAATGTAATATCATTAAAATCCACAAGATTATGAAAATTTACAAATAATCCCAATGGATTTAGTTAAACTTAACTTCTAGATTTCGACATCAACTCCTAATTAAGCACAACAAATTTGTTAAAAATTCTTATTATTAGGAATCGTAATCTGATGAACGATTGTGCAAAAGGATACATGGCAAATACTTCTATCTTTCAGGTTACTTTTCTTGTGGGCATTGTTCATTTCTCTTGTACTCAAGAATCCCAATTGGATCTACCCCCCAGTACTTCACATTTCTACACCAACAACTTATCATTTAATATAAATCAATTATTATTATTTATCACTAATATTAATATTTTTGTGTCTCTTGAATTAGTGTTACTCTACGTGTAGGGCAAACTTTGGTGCGTGATACAACAATCTACAGTACCTAATGAAAAGATGCAAGGATTTTTGGACTATGCTTGCTCACAACAAGGTGTGGATTGTGCTCCGATCAATCAAGGTGGTGCATGCTTTCAACCCAACACTCTAAAGGAACATTCAAGCTATGCCCTCGACCTATTATACATAATTAAAAATTTCTGCAACCTTGATATCGGCGTCATAACTACTGTTGATCCTTGTAAGTTCCTTTTCAAAAAGCTTGAGCGAGTTTCAAATTCATTATTTTAATTTTTAAAACAAGTTATTATGGTGCAATTTCGAGTAACTTTTATCATGGGTTTAAAGTAATGCTTTTTCAGGTTTATGTTTGTGCAGCTTCTCGTACTTGCCCTTTTCCATGAATACAAAGGAATGTTTCAAGACTAAAGGAAAGGACTTGAGTTTCTATTGTAATAGAAGTATCTTTTGTATGTTTGGTGATGAAAAGAAGTTATTTTTGAGAATATAGCATTGAATCTATGTGCGTACTCCAATCAACTCGTGAGTAATTTTAGTAAAATAATAGTTTTCGGGGCAATGCTATGTTACGGGCGATTTTCAGAGAAGGGATGATAGAATTTCATTTAGCAGTATTTCATTATGTACTGGGAGAAAAAAACAACTAGCCATACAGGTGCTACTAGAACAACACCTGTAAAGCTGTCTGAACAGAAATTCTATACAAACAGAATAATCCATAGTTTTTGTGAATAAAAGATTGTGGAAAGGAGTAAAATAAAAGGTTGTAGTCCGGTGAAATGGTACTCCTAAGTTAATGGTCCACTAGTATTGATATTCAAATCAACACTATGACGAAAATAGAAAACAAAAAAGAAAAAGACATCTCCTAATTTTGGAAATACAGATCAATAGAAACAATGAAAACAACAGCTTGGAAAGGCAGAGGGTTGGCCACTTTCGAGGTGATACCATAAGAGGCAAGCCTTTCCTTCACCATTTCCAAACTCCCTAATATTAATATATCATATGAGGCCTCTCCACTGATGCTAGGTCACGATGTCCTTTGTGTGATTGAGGGTTTCTAAAGATAAAGAAAAGAAATGCAGAAGATGAGAAATTTGAAAACGAAAGGAAGGATTTATACTTAAAACTATAGAATTTGCCTGTTGGAATGTTAATGGAACTTACGTCAAAAAATCTTTATTAACTAGAATTCTCTAGAGTTCAAATGAATGCGAAGAATTAAAAGGGGAAGAAAGGTTATAATATACACGTGTGGGGTATAATGTGGGTCAGCACGTTCGGTCTTCTTTTCAATGGAGATTAAGGCTGATCAATTAATGAGAAAACAAGTAGTAGAAGCTGCCCAAAATGTCTTGGCAATCTAGCATTTGAAAGGATACACCGAGCTTTCTCCATTAAGGTTCAATGCATACGCTCTGCAAAGCAGTTTTGTTGTGGAGTCCCATGTACGGTCAAGTGCCTCTAAATCTCTTTTGCGTAACAGAAACTATTGAACTCACTCAAACAAATCTCCAAACCATTATTAGCGTGAAAACGTTTTACCCACTTTCCAGTATACTTCTCAATCATTATTTTCTACTCCTTGAAGGTAACAAACACATCTCTTTTCTGCTTCAAGAAAAAAATTAATACCTTTCTGGAAAAGTCATCAACCATTGTCTGTTTGGGTTGTGATGCCAATTATGGAATTATAACTCAAACAATTTAGGCTATGATGAAAAACCGGGTTAAGCCCCATTTCAGATATTATACCCCATTGCCCGATAACTCAAACAAGAGGCCCAAAACACGAGCCCAACATTTGGCCACGTGTGTTGCTCCGGACCATTGGATCTCCTAAGTGATATCAACAGTGATGACATTTTGTATAAATGGAAGTTTGATGGATTGCCCTAGACGATTGATTCATTTTTTTCTGCCTCTTGAACTCTCTAGAATTTCTGTCTTTCTGTTTCTCTCTCTCCTTGGTCTTTTTTGTGATTTCGTTGAAATCTTCTGTGATTTGAGGCTTGCTCTTTGTGAAACCAAGTGAATCTTCGTGATTCCTGAGTAAGGGGAAAGGGTTGGTATAATATTTTGGGGGTTTTCCATCTGGTCTGTCGAAGTATCCTCATTTGGTTCGTGTGTGGGTTTGGGTATTTTGGTACTCCACGTTTGTACAGAAGGGTAGAATGGTTACTGAGCCCAAAATTGATGAAATCTTTTTGTCAAGTGTTTATTCTTGGGTTGTAATATTTTACAGTGAGAACTTTGTAAACTTTGTGTAATTTTAGATTTCTTGGTATATCATTGTCAATAAAAAATATACAACTCCTTTCAAAGGCACCAGCATCGGTCTCCACAGATCAGAATTGATATAATCAAGTGTTCTCTTCATGTTTTGTCTCCCTTTGATAAATCTAACCCTCCATCCAAAAACACAATGCTTACAAAATTTAACCTTACTTGTATTTTGACCATCATATTTAATCTCCATACTCTCCAAATCACCCATAATCTCATTAAATGTGGTTAAGTTATCCTCAATCAATGTACCTTTAAACATTCAGTGAGAATAAAAGTGCTGCTTCAAGTGTAACTTACTTGTCAAGCTTTTTGTCATTCAAAGTTGCTTAAATTTCAACCACAATGTGACGGTATTCTTCTCCTTAAGAATATCCTGAAGAATTTGATATAAGAGATGAAGATGAATTTGGGGCGCGGCCTGTCAATCCCTATGCTATTTTTCGTCCTTCAACCAAGTGAAAGCCATCTTATCAAATCCCAAATTCATCTGCACAAGCACAACACGCATCTTCACTTGCCTAGCGAAAATCTTATATTGCGATTCAATAGCCAAATATCGTATTTTATTGTTGCCATCACCAAAAATGACCAAACTCTAATACCAGTTTGTTATAATAAAGATAAAAATAAGACACAACAAGAAAATAAAGAACACAAACACGAGAACACTAAAAATTTATGTGAAAACACAAGATGAGAAAAAAAACATAGGCAAAGGAGATAAATCCACTATATGATGAGAATTACAATGAATATAATATTCAATATACATGAAGTCAATAATTTCGTGGAGCATATATAGGACCCAAAGAAATATTATTTAGATGGAAAGAGAATAAAAAATCATGTAAAAAAAGAAGAAAACAATGTTTTTCCGAATAACTCAACTGCTTGAGCAGTAGCTTCGCAGGAAAAGAGTGTAGCAAAGCCGCTCAAAAGCAAGGTAGGTGGCAAACGAGCAATAGTGATGGCGCCTATGTTGGCATCCAGGTGTTAAATCTAATATTCTCCTTTTCTTGGTGCCTAGGCGCTCCGTTTGGGCACCTAGTCTCAGTCCCAAATTACACTTAGCCATATTTTCACCTTTTCAGCACCTTTTTTGTCCAATCCACCAATACACAATGAAATTTGGGTCACACTTCAACATTATTGTTGCAATTGTCTCTGGGATTGAAGAAATTAAAGGCACTGGACAAAATTGAAGAAAATGGAGGTGGACAAGGGCGGGGATGTAAAAAAGGTAGCGGCACCCAAATGCATCATCATAAAATAAATATAAAGGTTAGATATCAATCAGAACAAAATTATTCATTTGATGAACATCAAATTATGTGATTGAGGGTCACCACCATATTGAATAATAATTAAAAATACATATTAACTTCATTGAATAATGTGATTGTAATCACACTATCACACGCATAATTGTTCATCACCACTACTAATAAATAGTATTACTCGAACATTTATGTCAAATTTATTTCTTGGATGCACATGAATTAACTATGTCATGTAATATTGTCAAAATCTACAAGTCATAATGAAAATTCACAACACAATTCTTTTTCTTTTTCTTTTTTTTAAAGCCACAATGCAATTCTTGGGATACACATAATTGCATAAATATCATATAAGATTATCAAAATCCACAATAATGGTCAAAGTTATATTCAACATTTTTACAAGTCATGCAAATAAATTCAAGAACGTTACTTTGTTCTAGGACAGCTAGTTGTAATGTAAAGTCATTTAAATCCACAGGATTTTGAAAGAAAAAAAATCTCAGTAGATTATGTAAATTCAACTTTCAGATTTCAACATCAACTCCTATTTAAGCTCAATGAATTTGTGAAAAGTTCTTATTATCAGTAAGCATAGTCTAGTGAGTGATTGTGCAAACAAATAGATGGCAAATATCAATACTACTTTGTTTCTTATTACTTTTCTTGTTGGCATTGTTCTTTGCTCTTGTACTCGAGATTTCAAATTGGATGACCAAAAACAAGTATGCCTCGTTTCTGCACCAAAATATTATCATTTAATATATAACTCTATTATTATTATTATTATTATTATTATTATTATTATTATTATTATTATTGGTTTATTAGTAATGCATGCACATCTGCACATATATGTATGTATGTATGTAAATATGGTTTCATTTGATTTAAGTTTTGTGTATCTGTAGGGGAAAATGTGGTGTGTGGCAAAAGTATCTGCGACGAATGCCCAAATGCAAGCATTCTTGGATGCTAATTGCGGAAAATTGGATTGTAGACAAATCAATCCAGGTGGTTCATGTTTTGTGCCAAACACCTTAAGAAATCACGCATCGTATGCTCTTGATTTATACTACAGAATCAATGGAGTGTGCAATGCAGCTATCGGTACTCCAGCAGTGACTGATCCTTGTGAGTTCTCTCTATTAAAGCATGATCCTGTGGTGTCGTGTCTATAATCTCACGTGTATTATTTAAATCTTGTTTTCAATTGTCTACCCATTTTATTTAACTTTTAATTATGTGTCCAACGTATCTTATTTCATGATTTTGTTGGTGCAGCTTATGGGAAATGCAAATATCCATGAGTGCAATGTAATGTCGAGCACAAGAAAAGGGCTAGGATTCTCATAAAAATAATTAGTGAAAGTATCTCATGTATTCGCTAGAAATCATCATTGCCCAATACTTTCTTGATTATCAACAAATTAGTGCTAGATAAACTGTTGTTTTGGTGTAAAGATGTAGTATGAGGCAAGAGATGAAGATTAATAAAATGAAATCCCAAACCCATTTTGTTGATGACTTTGATGTTTTTGGTGTGTAAAATGTGGTTAATGACTTTGATCTGTGCACTAAAATGAAACTTGTTTGTGTTGGAATTGAGCAAAATAAGTCAATAACAAAAGAGTGTATATGTTAAGGGATATAATCTTACATCGAAAAGATGAAAACATAAACCAATTTATAAGGGTTTGGATAACTCTTCTTAATATGGTTGACCCTTTAAGATAGAATCTCAAATCTTAACATAGTATCAGAGTCCAATGAGCTCTAACAAGCGTTTCGATTCAATTAAAACTCAAAAAAATGAGTATCATAGTTTTTAAAATTTGCCTTCAACACTTTGATCTGAAATGTATGTAGCAATCGAATTTAACATGGAATTGAACAAATAGAACTTCTATGAACCAACAATTTACTATGTTTATAGATTTCCAAATATCAACTATAGAGAAATTTCATGAAACATACTAACATTCATATCTCTTCACAAGGCAGAGTCTGGAGCACCAGTAGCGTATGAAACCTGCACTATGCATCTATGGGCAAGGCCACTGGAAACAATTAGTTATAAATCCACCATTGAGTGAGCACCGCCTGTTGTTCTCTAAAATGACTCAATTATCCCCAAAGCCTTGAAGAAAATCTATAAATACTCCATCCCAAAAGAATAGTATGCAATCTCAAATATCTATTTTACACAGTCATTTCCCCTTTTGCTCGTGGTTGAGCATTAGAATCAGAGTATGGGAGGAGAAAATCTTAGATAGTTGAGAAAAATCTGTTGATTGTAATATTCTAGTCAACTATCACTTGGCCCACCAATGATGTAGGCTTGAGGTGAAAGATTGTCTTTTTGTTGAGGTACGTTGTTCAGGGTTGATAGGTTTGATGGGGTGCTTCTTCAAGTCCTTAGCAATCTCGACATTAAGTTGGTCAGTCTAATGGACGTAATTACAGAGAATTGGAATGATACTTGTCTTGTGATTTTATATAATATGATAGTGCAGTTTATCGCCTTTAGTGAAGTTAGTGAAAACTAATAATCATATTGTATACTTTTGAATCATCGTGATGGATGTTCAACAGTTGGAGCTTAAATTATATATGTTCAACAAGGTCTGTGTTAATAGATTTGTAGAAAGTCAAGGACTTAATTTCATAATAATTAAAGTTCAAGGTTGCACAAGCAAAAAGGGGGTCAAAATAGTCCGGGTGAAAATCTGCCCTGGTTGACATAGGTGGACCCAAGGGGGGTCCTGGGGAGTCAGGTGACCCCCCAAACTTAAATATATATATATATATATATAATGCACCGACGCAAACACTTCCGTTCGACATGATACGTGTTGAATGCGTCGACAAGCAAGTTTTATAAAAAATACTGATACAATACATCGTCAACACATTGATTAAGTTCTTTATCTATTTAGTATAAACTTAATTTTATGCTTATTAATTTGTCTTGTTGATATTAATCTTTATTGAAATCTTTTAAATAAGAGTACTTATTTATTATTTAATAATTATATATATATATATATATATATATATATATTTTTGGATAAATCATGTTTGGGTATCGATTGAAATTGAAATTTTAATCTAAATCAAAGTTAGCAATTAATTTTAATAACATATTTCATAGAATCCTTAACTTTTATCAAAATATATTAAAAATTTGATTTTAAACCTTCACCAAACAGGAGCAAAATCACAATAAATTTAAAAAATTTTCTCTTCTCTCTTACTCTATCTTACGCTCTCCCTCACACTTTTTATCAAACTTTAATCCTTTAAATTTTTAAAAATTTGTCTATGATTTTTCTATAAATCATCACACCTACTACAAATTTTCACTTTCCAATCAAATTTTCAATTACTTAGAACCTAAATTTACATTTTCTCCTATCTTATTTGTGTACCTAGAATGTATCGGAATTGATTATATTCAATGTAACGAATTGTATTTATTTGATTGAATATTGATTATATATTTTTCCTTTCGATTACTTAAATTGATTGTTTGTATTAAATACACTATAAATTTTTTAAACATAAATATGCATTTTCTTGTAATGAGCAAAATATTAATAAAATGATTGTTCGAAATCAAAATGATGAAAATGATGAGCAAAATATTAATAAAGAAATACTTTTTAAATGTAAATCTGGATTTTTTCGGCTCGAGTATAAATCATTCAAAAATAAAAAATAAAATATTCAATTTATACAAAGTTTGATTGTGCCCCCTAACTAAAAATGTATGTGTCCGCCCCTGCAGGTTGATGCCCTATAGTGCCACGAAATGGAAAATTTTTGGTCGTCCTCTTCTATGATTCCAATCTAAATTCAGTTTGTTATTCTTAGAAATAATGTTAATATAAAAAACCGAAGTAGATTACTTTTGTCTATAAATTGGAACACAATGATTTTGTTTAAGACAGAACACATGTAAAAATATAGTGTTTTGCAGATTATTCTTGTAGGGTTCTTTACGAAAATTCATTCGTGTTCTTCCTTTTAATTCCTGTCGATTCCTTTAAATCCTCAAGCCTTCTCCGATGTTTTTGAAGAAGTAAAATATTTTAGAGATTTTTGTGTGTAGTCATGACGATAAAACTCTCTATTCGACCTTGAATACTCACATACTTGCTCGTGCGCACACCGATGGGTCCTGGTAGGAATAATTAAATTTTGAACTCTTATAATTTATTCAAGTTACAAATTTGAAGCCACCAAAGGGTCCTGGTTGGAACCAATAAATTGAAATCTAATAAATTAATCTTGATTCGACCATGTTAAGGTATTATATCCCACATCAAATGATGATGGAAATAAATACCAATTTATAAAGGATTGGACTTCTCCACTTAATAAGGTTGACCTTATTAAGATGGACCCCAAACCTTAACATGGTATCAGAGCCCAATAGGCTCCAACGAGCTATTCGATCCGATTAAGTCTCTAAAAATGAGCACACGGATTTCAAGATTGGTCTGCTCAAAACGAGCCACCATCTTGCGGGGGCATGTTAAGGGAATATAATCCCACATCGGTAAAAATACCGAAATAATGACCAATATATAAAGAATTGGGACACTCCTCTTAACAAGGTTGACCTTATTAAGATGGACCCCAAGTCTTAACAAATCATGGACTGTTAATCTCATCTCTAAAATCATGGATAATCAACCAATCTACAGGAGCAAATCATGGACACGGTTGCTATAAATTTGCTGCTATTCCTTGTATATTGATTCACTATTAATAGGCTTCCTAGTATAGCTTTTTTTAGTTTATGTATATATATAGCTTGCTGCCCTCATTGCAATTTGTGTACAAAAGCCAAACAATTGTAATACACAGTATTTTTCTTACAGCAGAACATCTGTCCTTCTTTATCATTTGTTCTTCTTTATGGTATCAGAGCGTTTTGACTCTAACGAGTACGATCCGTCCGCTTCCGCCATGACTTCTCCGGTTGTCTCTCACCCCACTGGTGGTCAGACTTTTGAACAACATCTAATCTCCATAAACACTAGCCAATTACAGCGCCTCACCACCTCCAGCTACCCAACCTGGCGTGCTACTTTCTCTTCCCTCCTCTTTGGGTACGGTATTATGGGGTATCTTGATGGAACCCTCCCATGTCCAGCTGTACCCACCAAAACCACTTCGGCAAATGATTTTGCTGCCTATACTCGCTGGTTTAG